ATGGAATATCATCCTCTTACGGAAGTAGTTAAGAGTATTATATAAGTCTCTCAGTCTCGTTTCTGTCATCATGAGGATCGCATTCGTTGACATCCAAGGCTTCTGCATCGACGGTATTTTTCATCCAAAGGAATTGAGTATCGCAATTGGTTGTAAACAATACCACGCTTTGTTCACACCGCCTACACCTTATTCTAACCTAAATACGCCTGATAGAATTAGCGCTAGATATGTTGAGAAACATATTCATGGGATCAACTATTCCTCTGGAGACGTGGATTATTCCAAGTTAAACTCGATTCTGGAAACATATTTACTAAACCATGTTGATTGTATTTACGTGCGAGGAAGTGAAAAAGCCGAATTTTTACTAAAAAAGTGTCACGTGTCACGTCCTATAATAGTAGATGTATGCAAGTTCGATGGAACCCCGTGTGCAACAGAAAAATTCAGTAGTGACTCCAAAACCTGCATGTACCACGCCAATGGATCATTTAAATGTACCCAGAAGAACGTCGAAAGTCTACGCCAATGGTTTCTTAATTGCATACCTTTGTAATTTTTTTGTTATTAATAAATGATTATTAAAGGAAATGTTTTTTAATTGAAACCCCTTATTAATTTCATGCATTTATTTTCGTTTTACAAGAAGAATAAAATTTTTTATTTACAATTTTTACAATAATTTTCAATATTATAAACAAAGTAGATGATAGTGTTATACAACTAACTACATATAATTTAGAATATTTGGGCTCTGACATGTCACTCAAATCGATCGGTGGTGGTGGTGGAGTCGTAACAGCATGCCAATCTTTGAATTCTCCTTCAGTGCCATCATTAAAAATCAATTTTAATTTGTATCTCTTTGCTTCATCGATTGCTATGGAAAACGTATTTAGCTTCATATTATTTACCACCGAGAAATTCATCTTTCGCCATTCCGTTTGATTATCAAAACGTATCGCCATCTGTTGTACGCCCAACGGTACATTGGTATGCAGTACGTTGTTTAATATAGCCGTAAGTATAATGAAATTAGCCTTTAAGATGGCCATATTTGCGTCGGTTGGCTTCTTCTAAGTGGTCTAGGATAATATCTCTCAAAGCCTTTATCCCAAAGACTTAAATTTGTCAAATCTCTTAAAACTTGTTTTTTATCTTCATATAATTTTATGTCTCTTCTTAGTTTTTGAACTTTCTCTGCAAACTCTTCAATTCTACGTCTATTCTCTTCGCTAGACATTTCAATACTGAATACTATACTTATTTTACTAATATTGTCGGGTGTAGGATACGCCTCCTCTCGGAGATCTAGGTTGTTAACCTTGACGCTCGGCCAACCCAGCTGTAGTAGTAGCAGTAGTTATTGTACCCTCGATACTAGCAGAAACTAACAGTCAAACGTCAAACGTCAAACGTCAAACGTCAAACGTCAAACGTCAAACGTCAAACGTGAAACGTGAAACGTCAGTCGTCAAACGTCAAAACGTCAAACGTGAAACGTCAAACGTGAAACGTCAGTCGTTAAACGTCAAACGTCAAACTTTTCGGTACACATACCTTGCGTGCGTTGCGTACGTGCGTCGCGTCCGTTGCGTGCGGCGTCGTGGCGCTGTCGTATTCGCAGCCTTTCTGGGAACGCAGGACGCCAGGACGTCGGATTCCCAGAACGGTGGATTCCCAGGACGTCGGATTCCCAGACCGTCGGATTCCCCGACTGTCGGATTCCCAGGTCGTCGGATTCCCAGACAGTCGGATTCCCAGACCGTCGGATTCCCAGGACGCCAGGGAAAAGACGGATACTCATTCGAATCTGTCGTCACGATTGCTGCCATTAGCTAGGGTCATCTGTCAACCCGTCACCCCGTCATCGGTCGCCTTAGGTCGAAAATGGCGGGAATCCGGTACTCCAGCGATCCGTCAACTGTCGCCTGTCAGATCCTTAGTTCACGTGAACGATGGTCGCCAAGGTTAACCAACATATAATTTAAAATCTCGAATAGATTTTTTTTTCAACGTAAAAGAGGTTAGGAATTGACGACTCCCCCATGGGGGTTATGTTCATCGGCGCGTCTCCGCGTGGCGGGCCCCCGGGCTGCCGATCGTTCAAAGCGGGGGTTATGTTCACCTCGGCGGCGGAAATCCTCATCGGGGCAATTGACGGATCGACCGTTAAAAGTGGGGTTATGTTCATCGGCGCGACTCCGCGTGGCGCGCGCCTCGTGGCGGGCCCCGGGGCCACGGGCAGCTGTCTAACGACCGTTTAAACTGGGGGTTATGTTCGCCGCTCATTGGCGAAATCCTCATCGGGGCAGTTGACGGATCGACCGTATGACACACACACGGACAGCTGACAGATGATGACAGACACCTGACAGATGACAAATTCTAATCCAACCGCCAGAGGGCGCCGCCGCCGCAGCCGATGGCCTTTTTCTCCCGCGTTCCACAGCCAACAAAAACTGACAGCGAAAAGAAGAAGAATTGACAACTAATAAAAAAAAGAAGAAGAATTGACAGATGACACATTGACAGATGACACATTTAGGTTAGCCAACTTCGTGGCTATGGCCGCGCATGCGCAGTAAAAAAGTTCCCAGGCCCAAGTGTCCTGACCCCTGCTTATACACTGACGAAAATATCGAAAGGTTGTGTAAACATGGCAAGTCGCACCAACAACGAGCTTATTTTGTTAGATTTATATGGATACAACACTGGCTAGTTTTTGGCGCGGTTCAGGCGCGACTCCTTTTATTTTGTAACGGTTGGAACCGTTATTTCGATATTTCGACACAATCACCTCTTACTTAAATGTCATTTGTCGTTTATGCCTTGTGTCAAAAGTTTTCATTTTCATTTGATTTAAATAGATCACATGTGATAACAAGTAAATAAAATAACTAGATATCACGTTACAATTTACACGCACCTTCATGTTTTATTGTTCATTTTGTTTTAATGTTTTATATTCACAGAATAAAAATTAACAATTTATTGAGTAGTTTTTTTCCTCTTTCTATTATATCGTTTTCCATTTTCGATAATTTATTTATGCTTAGGCTTAGTATTGTTTATTGTTGCTTGTAATCAATCTTATTGCATAATAATTATAACTATTGGAATGAAAACATTATTTTAACTCACTTTAAAAGTATCCGTAAAAGTATCCTTTAAAGTATCCGAAAAAAGTATCCGGATACTTGTATCCGAGTACTTTTTAGGTGAAAGTATCCTAAAAAGTATCCGGATACATTGTAAGTATCCGTATCCGGTACTCGGATACTTTTTTCCTGTATCCGATCCAACTCTGAATCAAGTCAGAGGGTTTACACGATAAAACGTCGACGTTACGACAACGTCCTAGAATGGTGTTAACGAGACTGGAAAAATACCACCGTTCGGTACCTTCTCGACCGACGCCACGTCCAGATATTTCTATGAGTGCCGCCAGTTTATACTATTTCACGAACATTTTAGGAAACAGCCTATGAATGTAATAGATGCCAAATCACTAAAGAAATTAGGAAATTAAGGGAAATTATAGATATAATTAAATACTAAAAGGCATATACCTTATGCTGGGTTGATATTGATATAACATTTTGCATTGACCTCCTCTTAACTTTTAACGACGGTCACGATCCACGATGCATACACCATTACACATTACACATGGCCGAAGCAGCAATCCGCACTCGCGTATCGGGGACAACACTAATCATTTGTAACTGCTGTGGTGGGAGGTGTTTGTGTGAATGCGTCTTGTTTGTTTTCATTAACGCCATGACTAGCAGTAGTATTTTCTAAACCTTAGAAGCAAATTTCACATACATAAACAAATAATAATAATGCCGTGACAACAAGTAGACGAAGCAACGACTTCTCGTATGGTGGCGGCTTCGTCGCCACTAGAAAATTTTAATCCATTCCTGGCTACGCCGACCGGCATAAACACCAATGGACTGAACACAGCTCACTTACTCTGTCAAAAGGAGACCGATGTACAAATAAAACGCGTACGACATGCGCACTACAAATAATTAGTGTTGTCCCCGATACGCGAGTCGTCTCAGCGGTACGTGGGCGTTGCAATGTTGCAAAGATATATTAGTTTGTATCATTAAATACACGAAAGGTGGTACAAAAACGTAGGAGCTATGGGCGATGAGTAATTCGACAAAGAATTATTCATAACAGAAATAAAGGAACATTCTGAAATGATCTTGGTTTATTTAAGCATTACATTCAGTTCATCAATACGCATATAAACCTAACTATACGAACATAATTAGAACATTTACGATCATCATTATTTATTAAG